GCAGGTTGACATTATTTCTAACGTGCAGTCCAGCAAGTAGCAGCGCCTCCGACAGACACATTATAAAAGAAAGAACGGTCTCTCGCATGGCCCAAAGCGTCGTTTTCTGGTCAGTCCAGCTGGCGCGTATGTGTAATTGTGAAGTGTACAAAGAGGTGTAAAGCCATAAATCAGCCTTTTATTTTCATTACATTGTCATGCGCGCGCCGAGAAAAATGCGACTGCCCCAATTACGCTCGTTTGAGCGAATCGTGATCAGAATAATTAATCCTGCGGACAAAATGGACCATTAATAATTAGCTCGAAAAATTAAAAAAAGAAAATGTAATTGTATATAATACGATTAATTTTAAAGAGGGCATTAATACATTTATTCACTTCGAAATGGGCGTGTTTGTACACACTTAACCTTCGCCGAGAATTATATCAGTGAATAGACATTCTGTACTCCATAAACATTCGGCCCACGCATGCAAATTGCACCGCTCTAGCGAGCCGTACAGCATCTTTTAAGCCGGATTGAGGGAATGTGAGCTGGGCCTACGCACGAGCATTGTTGCGGGTTTTATTGAAAAAAATAAAATCGTATGCAGGCAGCGCCGCTGACAGGCCGCGGATATACGTCTTTCAATCAGAGATACACACGTGAAATCAATTCGGCCTGTCAGAAGTCTGTGTATTTTACGGACAGACATATTTGGCGGGTCGATCATCAACCTTCGGACGGTTTAATTGGATTTGTGAGCTGCACGCGAAAGCCAAAGTGGGTAAGAGTTTCCAGATTGGTCTTTTGGAAGAGGGAAATAAATTTTTGATTTTCCATCGTCATAAAAATTGACAAAATTATATATCACTCAAGAAAATGCAAATTGAGATGAAAATTTGGACAAAAGTTTATCTTCTGGGATTTTGTAAATTTGATATTATTAAGAGAATTATATATTCAGCTTTAATGAAAGCTGTGAGGTACATTGGGGTTATTACATAACGTTTCAATAAATATTAAGAAATTAATAATAAAAAAGTATGAATTTCGTTTAATTCTCTTTTTCTATGGATGAATATTCCTTACAAAGGAAAGGTATGAATAATTCAAGTTCGTGCTAAAAGTGTGGATTCAATTTTTAGTTTATATAACCGTGTCTCTTCTGTTTATTTTTTCAACGTAATATTATTTTACTTGAGTGAGTTGAGTGGAAAAAACAATAATATTATTTAGTAATTTAGTGCCACGTAATCCAATTATTATAAATTAATAAAATATAATTCAATTCCCATCATAAATAGCAGGCCGTTTTAATTTCTTCATTGTCAAAAGACATGCAAGTTAAACTATATATTATGCGTATTTCTCGCGCTGTGCACATTAATAAACGCACTCCTTACAAAAGCCTATACTGACAATAATTAATCTCCATCTGAGCAGCGGGCCGACGCGATACATCAATGCTCGGAAATCAACAATGAGCGCACTTCAAAGTAATGTAATGTGCTCTGCGGCCTACCGGCCACGTGAAAAATGGATCGGCGGCTAATTAAACCCTAGCATGCAAGGCGAAAACACATTCATCACTTGCTAATTAACCTTTTAAAGGCGGCAAAGAGGTTTCGCAAACGGACTCGCGGCGAAAATTCTTCTCAACTGCAATATTTTTTCCGATCTGTTATTATTTTAAAATTTCAGAGGCACGTCAAGCGAAAAAGCATAAATCAAATTCGCGGAGCAAGAAGAATTCACTTCATGATATCAATTTACATATTATGCCATAATTGCAAGGCGCTGCATGAAAACGTACGCATGTGTGTAATTATATGAGGGGGCGCGTAATTGAATCTGCTCCTTCTCCAGAGGAGAAGTTTGCGAGTCTGTAACAGGGAACCAGCAAGAATTTTTCACGCTTGGTAGCACTTACAATTAGAAGCTTTACTAAATCATTATAATATTTATATCAAATTGGTAATGAGATGTTGTAGGAGAACTAAAAATTATGATATGTTTTAATCAATAAAATATTTTATCGCTCTTACTGAACTGAAATTTATAAAAAAGCTTCCCACTAAATCTGTCAGCCTATTTTGTCGTTTTTTAAAATCATTTTCATCAACATTAGACAAATGCAACTAACATACGAATCATACTTTTATAGGAAAATTTATCAAAGCACATCGCGAAATTATGCGGAACGACCGCCTCTGTACGGTCGGTCGGCGAAACTTGGCCGCGCGAATTGTTATTTTATGCAGGAACTCAAAGGATTAAATCCGCGTAGCCGGCAGCACTCGCCGGCGATGCGTTAAAATTCAGTCTGGCAAACAAACTGCTAAACTGAGAGTATAATTATTAATTGCCCAAGTTGTTAAATTAGTTGTATAATTGCCACGCAAATCATGATTATACATACGAGATGAAAAATTGTGCGACCCGCAAACCCGAGCCCAAGTTGAAAGGACCAGAGTGGCTGCGAATAGCGACGTTTGATTTCTGCACCATACTGACACGAAGGCCATGTGGACCATCATGGGGTAAGAGGTGCATCAAGCCGGGTTCGAACGCGGAATGACGCGACTGGTGGGCGGCGACTTTACCACGAGACTATCAGGAGACTCACGATTCAGAGGCTCTAAACTCTTTAGATAAAGACGGGCAATAATCAATTTAAAATCAATTTACTGTTTTAAAGACCTAGTACTTATAAAAGAGTGGAATTAAAACTTAATATTATAGAACTTCATATTGCAATTTTGATATTTTTTTCATTATAATTCAATGGTTAATATTTTTAATGGTAATAAATATTTTAATTTAATTCTGACAAAAAAGAGGACAAGACAAATTCTCCCTTTAATCACTGCCAAATGAAATGAAACTAAATAAAGAACAAACTGATTATGTATTGAATGTTTTACATAATTATTTAACTTGGAAATTTTAAATCCAAAATATTTAAATATTGCATAATTATTTTTTAATATGAGTAGAAGTTTCCAATCACTATTGATTTGTAAACTCGACTTTTTTTTCAAATAAAGTCATTGTTTTAAATTATTTTTAATTATATTTTCAGGATGTTAACGCCCCTTGAAATTAGTGACTTGGAGTTGCCTAATGTGGCCGAGAATATCCATCGAGTGGCGAGTTCGCAATCTCGCTTTACATGCTCGGGCGAGTACAGCCACAATAAAATAGCCTCGCTCTCTCTGCCTCGAGCTTCTTTATTAGAGCTACCAAGTAACTTTTGTTTAATGCCGCTACTTCTTGTCTCTTCTTTAACTTTCTGAATGTCTCGATAATGCCCGTCGGCGGCGAAAAAATACATAAAAATAAAGAACGCGGCCGTGTCCTGCACTTTTCCCGCACATTCGCTTTCCTCGCCGGCTATTTCATGAATTATATGGCTAGGCAGCTTTGTCCACTTTATCTATATCACTCTCGGTACGAAAATCCGTGCCGCGGGGGGCGCGATTATCGCTGCCGAATATAAAGTGAGTCGCCTTTTAAATCAAATGAACGCGAGTGAAAGCCAAATTTGATGCTGTCAAAATTGAGAAATTTTGCAACGCCGCCGATTCGTGTATGTAATAGCAGTGGCAATCAAAATAACATTCTCGCTTCGATTGGCCGCGGAGATCGTGGGAAGTAGTCGAGATGGAACATTATTATGTCTTGTTGTCCTCCATTACGGACGCTTTTATGTAACGCAGTGCAGGAGAGAGGGGACGGAGGGGAATCGTATATGTATTGCGAATTTATATTATGCGTATAAATTATAAGCTCATATTTTCAACTGCAATATCAAAAGAACTCAAAAAATAAAATTCTAGCTGACAAGTGTTCGTGAGATAAGAGGAGGATATTTGCAGGTCGGTGTCTTTGCGGCTCAGAAAACGAGATGCGATAAATCAACCGGACCTCTCCACGCAGGTGATGCTTTTTTTCTGCGCTTCTCCTTCAAAGGTCACGCACACGCCAAGCAATTGGCAAGCTGAGAAGCCGTCAAGGCATTATTAGGCGTGTTTGCTATGCTGTGGCCAAAAATTGTATCACACATGGAAAATTAAGCTACTTTGAAATAAATCTATATAATAATTTATATCATTATTAAATTTTCACTTTAATACATAATGCAATTATAAGCAGATTTGATTATTTTCATAATTTAATTATTTTTATATAAATTAAATAAAATAATCTTTTAAAAATATTGGGCTTGGACACCCAATAGTAATGTCAATATTAATTTATTTAAAGCATGGAAATCCAATCAATTCCATTGATGTGTCCTTCAAATATTTTGAAATGTTTGGCTCACATGTGAGTAAAATACTCACTAGAAAAAATTTACAAAATAAAAGCACTTTAATTATTTAAATAGAAAAAAAATCAATTTAAATCAAGTTAAATGTACTTTTCTTTAAAAAATTTCCGTTTTGTATAGCATTTTTTTTTTAAGTGTGCGGTCAGGTATGCATGAGTACCTGAGCCGGTCTGAGGGAGGAGAGGCGAAGACGAAGAAAAGAACACGCGGCGACAAGCAGTCTGGGCCGCCGCGCCGACCCTCCCACCTCCTCTCGCATTCTTCGCAACGAGCAGCGAGAGAGGCGCAGAAAACAGACTGACTGACGACCATCCACGCTACTTACATGGCTCGCGTGAAAAAAAAAGAAATAAAACGCGGCGGAGGTGACGTCACCCTTGCAAATCTCAATTTAAGTCTGCGCCGGGAATTTGGCACTTGAAATGCTGCTGCTGAACGCGGACGGACCACTCTCGAATGCTGCTCGCGCCGTCGCACGCGAAATTCAATCCGGGATTGCGATTTTTCGCCAGAAGGCTGCGATTCTCGCGAATTTCGTTGTTGCCATGCATGAGTGAAAAATTCATATCGCTCGAAGTAATTTTGTTTTTAGCCAGGATATTGCGAAATGAGGGTGGAAATGGCGGAGATTGGATAAATTTGTACTCAATGAGGGGCGATTGATTCTCGCGGGTTTTGTCTTACCGCAAAGTTGGAATTCGAATGAGAGCTCAAGCGGGATTGTCGGTAGTGGTTGTTGGTTGTACATACCTGAAACAAGAAAAAATAAATTAGATTTGTTAACAAAAACAAAACAATTCGATTCCAGCAAATAATTACTCGTAAAAAGTTTGCAAATTAGAGCTTGCACATTAATTAATCAGTAATTTAATCCCCTTTTGCCTATTGGTGAGGGATATTAAAATTTGTTTGAAGAAGTTTGGCACTCGAGGAGATGATCATGGAAATGAAGAGATCGGGCTTTTTCTCGTTGCAGAAAAATTGTTTTATAAAATAGTTTTATTTTTAATTCTTAAAAAAAAGCATAAATAAACTTTTAAAATTTAATTATAAAATAATATTTGATTAAGCTAGTTCATAGAACTGCCTCAATTAGGAGGCGCTCTAGTTAACCTTTTGCCAATAACTCGTTTTTATAGTCCAATTTGAAACAATATTTATAAATTATTTGTAAATTTCAGCTTGAATTCGTTTCTGAAGGTGATATCAATTTTTTTATGCAATGATCGTTATCTTTGTTCCTCAGTAACAACAAATTTAATTTGACTTTATAAGTTGAAAATTTATTTTTCTAGTTTATTACTTAATTTTATTTTATTAAATAAATAAATAAATTTGGAAGAAGAATAATTTTTCAAAAAATGAGTAAATAAACAAATAAAAATTTAAAATTTAATTAAAAAATAAAAAAATTAATTAATTTTTACTAGTTCTTAAACCTGCCACCATTAGGAATCTCTGCAGTTAACCTTTTTTTTTAAATAACTCATTATTTTGTATTCAATAATTTTACATGCAATGAGAGAAGTTATAAAAATAAATTATTCATTTCAGCTTGAATTTTTTTTTTTTGAAGTTGATATCAACTTTTTTTTTTTTTTTGATGCAATGATTGCTCTCTTTTTTCCTCATTGTCAGTAAAACCCCAATTTAATTAAACTTTTTGAGTTAAAAATTTGCTATCCAGTTTATTACTTAATTTTATTTTACAACAAAAATATTTATCGCAGACAATATTTTTTTATGTCAATCTGATAAGCAGCGTCTTTACAGTTATATTAAATATATAATAATATTTCTTCTTTTATAATTATTCTATAATAATTCAATTTTTTATGCTAGTAGCAAATAATCTATATGTATAAAAGTTCCAGTGATTATTTATTCGGCGAATTGATTTGATAATTGCCACTCTTGGAACCGCAGCTCTTGAAGGCTGCATATCTAGGATTCTGCGAACCAAACCGATTTCTCCGCGACTGCATAAATCAATTAGTTGTTACTAAGCGCTGATAATTTATACACGGACAGAGCAAAGTTGAGCCGCGCGAGTGCCAATAATTGCGGCAATAAACACCGTGCAAGTATTGTGACGAGACTATAACTCAACCGTGCAAATATAAATGTACTCCGAGTTTCCCTGTTTTAAAATACGAGATCGAGCGAGCTGCAGCGAGAGAAGAGACGAAGGAAGTTTCTTTCATTCTCTCTCTCGTGTGTGTATAAAATGATTATCCCGACAACTCGGCAGCAAAGAACAAGTCTCTGGTGAAGGCCGACCGCCTCACAGCCAACTCCTTCGGGCTGGAACACAATGACAGTGTAAAGACCTTCCTTCTTTCTTTCGCAGCCGCGATCGAATTTATAAAATAAATAATTGGCCGCGGAGAATCGAAGAAAATCGGCTGCTTTTCGGAACGGGGAAAAATTATCTGCCGGAGATGAAAGCGAGATTTGACTCTTTTTTTTGTGCGCAGCCAATAAGAGATTGAGAGTTCGATTTATAATTCTGCAGTCTCTCTCGCTCTCATTGTTATACAATCATTCCCATTAACTGAGGTTAATAAAATGGCCTTAATAATACAGTGGCTCATGTTTAATGAATGCAGCCAACAGAACAGCGGCTTGTTATAAATTGGGAAGGAGAACCATGCAAATGAATAATCAGCATCGACTTCAGTTTTTCAGGGAAAATTCCGTTTAGACAATAAACCTTGAAAACCAAAGCTGAAAATAACTATTGCGCGTTTCCATAAAGTAACGCCGGCAGAGCACGCTTGTTATTCACACCAATGAGCTGAAAATAAATTTATATTTATGCACTTGAGGGATATAATTATGAATGTACTCTCACTTAAACGAACCAGTTTTGTTTTCTCCTTCGGCTAAATTTTGAAATTCACATAATAATAACTCAATTTGACGAGCCGCGTTCATATCGCAAGCGCCGCATCATAATATTTGTTTTCCGAATTAAAAAGGACTCAGGAGGAGGAGCTTATAACCGAGTTGATAACAAAGAAATTAAACGCGCGTCGAGTTAAATAGGATTCAGTACGTGCATTATTTTAATTATTATCAGCGCAGCGACAGCCAGTGCGCGTTGCTTGACACTGAAGTTGCAAACAATAAAAATTACGTCGGGCGCATTTATCGAGCCTGAACGAACCCGCATGCAGCGAAACCTTCACATTATTTAAATTGCTCCGCGAGTTAAGTATGCACTGCTCATCATCACGCAAAACACACTTCCCCATTTTCCAAGTGTGAATTTATTACAAAAAGAGGAATTTGTTTCTCTCTCTCTCTGAAAATAATTCCTTCTTTTTTTCCTCCTCCCGGCGTGTGGTATTGGAAACCTCAAAATTCTCAACCTGCTATTTCATTTCCCGCCAGTAAGGACAACAAAAAGCATCTCTCAGGTAAGAAGTTCAAAGACCTCGTTGAGCCCGTGAAAATAACAAAGGTCGTTGTGGGTTTCGCGCCCCCGCGAGAGCGACGAGGTGGCCCACTTGTGAGCTGCACTTTTTTGCTCGAAAACTCGCCCCCACCGAGAAAATTCAATTGTGCAGCGTTTCACCACAAGCCACTGATGACTTCTCAGCCACCTTCTGCCTCCTGCACTAATCCCGTAAGAAAACATTTCTATTGGAAACGCGCAGGAAACCCCTGCGGAGCGTGTTTTGCTTCGCAGCCAAAATTAAGAGAAGGCTGTCATGGATTTGGGCCCTTTGTGTCCCGAAGAAACTTTTCTTTCTCTACCTGAGCCTCGACTCTTTTCCACGAGTCACTCAACTGGAAAATCAACACCCCTGATCCCTGCTCTCGGGGGAGCGCGTCCAGAATGTTTGGAGAGAAATTTTTTTCAACAGAAATTTGTTTGTTGATAAAAAATTTCAAATTTAACTTTATTTTTATTTTAAACCTGTTTCTTAATTCCGAGTAAAGGAGGAAATGGAGGCGCGTTTATTTCAAGGAAGTCGATAAGCCCCTATATATCTTAAATTCGATCAGTGGAGGCAAAAAAAAGCTAATTGTGTCACTGTTGTTGTAAGTTTTGTCCTCTAATAGATTAATGCAATTGAGAATATCAAAATTTGTTTTTGCTAAATCGCGAAAGACTATTGGTGTGAATCAAGTTTGACATGGCTTGATATCAAAGTATTTTCATTTCGTGTAAATTAAAATTTCTTGCAAGATTGAATAGTTTTTTCTTAAACTGACGAACCATATAAACCAAAATTAGGGATTCTTGACTCTGTATAAGAATCGGGGAATCAAATTATATGTAAACTAAATTTAAAATTAGCAAATTTAGTAAAAATTAAACAGCTTTAAAATGTTTTAAGCATCAGAAATCAAGTTTTAAAATTAAAAAGGTCTTGAATATTAAAAAAATATATATAATATAAAATGAAATGAATGATATTATTAGTTAATTTTTTTTTAATTAATTTAAAGATATTTTTTGAAAGTTTTGATAATAGCTATTGTCAAATTCAAATTGCTAAATCCAAAATCATGCCGAATTTCAACATCAAATTAGATGGGAATTTTAAACTTTGTTAAATTTGGTTTATGAATAAATAAAATACTTGGGTAATTATTCAGCCCAACTAGTTACAAAAAATCAAATATTGTCATTAATTGAAATATTCAAACCAATAATGCAATCTTTATATGAATTAATCACATGTAGAGAGCGCATAGAGTGCTCTAAAATCTTAAAAAAAAACTTTGAACGTCTATAAATGAAAGTATGCAAATTATACGCAATTAATCCGATAAAAACGTGTGCAGTTTAAAACGCAAAATGATTTGCACCCCCTAAAAATATTTCGTTCCTGTGACATACCCCGCTCTCCCTTCCGGCGCTACTGCATCCGTACTTCCAGTAGTTGTTGGCCTGATGGTGGCCGAAGGCGTCCGCCGAGTTGAGGACGCTGTTGTGTCCGGTCGAGGAGTCGGCGCACTGATAGTAATAGTCCTGGTGCGGTTGTTGCTGTTGGTGGTGGTGCGGTGGGGGCGGCGGTTGGTGGTGGTGCTGGGGGTGGCGCATCGGGGGCTGGTGGTTGTTGCTCATGGTGGCGCGTGGGCGACCCATGCTGGCGGCGTCCGACCGCGAAAACGACTGCAGAGCACTCACTTGTGTTCAGCGACGAGAGAAGCCAGAGGAGCTTTCGACGGCGGGCGCGTCGAGCTGCGAGTGCGGCGGCCTCCGCGGCTGCCAGCCGCCGCCGCGGCCAACCCCCCCCCCCCTCCCGCCATCCTCGCTCGCGAGCCGCGACGGCAACCACGCTGCCGCCGCGAGCGCCGCCGAACCGCGACGCTTTTCTCTCCGCCACTTCTGCTATTCTTCATAAATTATTTTCCTCGAAACTCTTCTTTGTTTTTATCGCCGATGAGAAATTTACAAGAATTACTTGTCTTTTTTAAGTAAAATTCACATTTCAAAATATTTCCTGATATTTTGTGAAAATACATTTCTATTATCATTCGCCCCCCTTTTACAATTAGATGGCATTTTTTTTAAATAAATTTATATGGAAAATTTATTCACCACCAAATTTTAATCGTTTGAAGCCAATTTGAGCCAATAACAAATTGTTATTGAACATGAAATTTGAAAGATATTTCAAAACCTATAGAAATTGGTGTCTAATTTAACTTCTATTATGTATTTTAATATTTAAATTTTATTCTCATTTAGATAATTGCCTAGACCGTTTTTATAATCACAAATCTCAAAT